ACCTGTGATCCACTACTCTTCTTCTATTACCTTTCCCCTTTTAATATTTTACTCTTAATACTATCTCTCTCTCTTTATCTTTCTTTCTGTAATCCATGTAGTCTATGGAGCCCCAAGTCACCAAGCCGCTGATGCCAATTGCAAAGCCCTTGTGCACCTATCTGGTATGCTAAGAGGAATTGAGCCACCTCAAATCCTGAGACTGTACAGGCCAGGAACCGAAACGCGTCAGCTCTGGTCCAATGCCGAACCTGACATGGCAGAGCATATAGCCGAATCCGAAGACTCCAGCAAAACGCCTCAGATCTACCTGATGATGCTTGAAGTCGCTCAGCAAATGATGACAGCGAGCAAGAAGCGCTCTCACAGTCTACCGGAACATTCGCTTGAGCATCTAGTTATCGAGGAGATTTATCATGCGGAGGCTGAAGGGCGTATACTTCTAGGAAACTATCCTTCAGAGGATCAGACCAAACTATCCAAAGGACAAATCTCCTTCAGCGAGGCCAAAACATTGCTGGATCCTGAGGTAGACATGTTTGGTGAACTTCGAGAACACCTGGCACACATGAAGCAACAGCGACTTTCTGAATGGGAAAAAAAGGAGAAGTCTCGGGCTTTCGTGGCTTTTCGACACGTTGCAAACTATGTAGTCAGCCGGAGCAAAATCCTCGTGTCAACAAACAACAACATGGCATCATCCTTTTGTGCCCAGAACTTCGGTCAAGAGGCCAAGGCGATCATCCTCATCCGCGATGAAGACCCGAAAGAACTCGAGGTGAACGGAATCATTCCCTTGACGAAATGTGGGTTTTCGGACAAGATCAAGGGAATCGTACTTGCTGGTGACATCGCCCAGCTCAAGCCAACGGTGATCTCTGCAAAAGAGACTCCCAGCTGGAACGAATTCAGCCAGCAGTTAGAAACCTCGCTGGTCGCCAGGCTGCTTCGTGCGAACCACCCCATCCAGCAGCTTACTGCTCAGCGACGGTTCCGACCAACCTTCAGCGAGTTCTTGAACATGCGTATCTATCAGCAATCACTGAAATCAAGCCTTGTTACAAAAGAGCTCAAGGTCAAATCCGGCTGGGATGATGCAGTACGTTCACTATTTCCCGAAATCAGTCAATCGTTCGACACAGGACATTTCGTTTTGAGTCTCACTGGCTCTTCCTGCCATATCGAGCAGGCAACCAAGTCGAGATTCAACATGGTACATGCGCAAGCTGTCATAACTCTTCTCATCGAGAACCACCTTAAGGACGGTTATAAAGGCGAGGATATGGTGATCGTCACGCCTTACACGGCACAAAGAATCCTCTATAGGACGGCACTTTTCCACCTTCGTGAACAACTACCCTTGAGCCATCAACCACAGATCGAAACGATCGATTCCATTCAGGGCGGAGAATCTAAGCTTGTGATCGTGGACTTTGTGATTTCGCAGGCTGATACGCGAGCCGATTTGGGATTTCTCGATGACCACAGATGTAATGTTGCGCATTCTCGCATGCGAGAAGTGCTAGTCACAGTGGCTCCCATGCATCTCGCAGATAGTCCCTTCGCAAAGACACCATTCCAGCGCCAAAATTCTTATGGTGAGGTGGTTTCATCTAAGTCGCCGTACCTAGTCGAATACGTGTCCTGGGCATCGAGTAATAAGAAGGTTATTGTACTCGACGCTATGCCAAGTAAGTGCCCCCTTCTGAAGAGACATGTGCTGATTTCACTGTTTACTGACATTGGATACTTTATTTAGAAGCTATTCCGTTCTCGCTGTTCCATGATTTCGGTCAAACGTCCACTTTTGCAGACAATGACGCTGAGGCAAACGATACCACTGCTGCAGAAATGACCGCCGAGCCAGGAAATACTACAAAGGCTGACAAGACCGCCGAGGCGGATAACAACGGCGAAATGAGTTGGGGTGACAACGATGCGTCGAAACCTTGGGAGGGGGAGATTGTCGAATGGGGAGACGAGGGCTACAATTCCAAAATCCCTAAGCCGGAAGGTTTCGATGACTCCGATGAAGCTGACGATAACCAAAGTGCAGGCTGGGGTGGCCCTTGGTAAAGGAAGGGCGTGTGATACACCGTTAAACAATGTTGCGGTTTTTTTCTAGAACAATCCTAAGTGCATAACTTGAATTTGACTTTTTCATATCTGTGACATCTGATTCTGAATCCAAGGTTCCGAAGGTTCTTCTTTGCTCTCGTCCCAAGGTCATACTTACCGTTCTTCTTTCACTTCCGAGCCTGACACCTTGATGACACAATTTCGAAAATCTTTAAAACCCCACGCTCCTGCCCTACCGCGCTCCTGCTCGCAATCATTTTTCTCATCGCTCCTACCGCAGGAATTTGCTTCATCGTTCAACCCTTTCAGTTCCCTTTGCTTGCAACTACCTTGCCTCCATCATGTCACCACCTCCAACCATGTCTACTATTACAACTTTACAGGCTTCCCCGACTGGGATGCGCATGATCATACCGAAATCCACAGAAGAAGACAAGCGCCTCGACAAAGTCATATCAGAAGTCGTTTCTTTTATTCAAACTGACTTATGCGAGGTGGACAAATTGACGCTCTGCACCGGCCTTGACATCGAGGACTCGCCGAGGTTGATCCAAGTGCTAGATACCTATCGGGTTCGATACTTCTACAGCGGCAGCATTTTGGTGATTATGGGAGAATGCCCATTGAACTCTATCATTGATACTCTCGTGTTGAACATTCTCGACCAGCGTTCAACGATCCTACCGCGCGAATTGTGTCCCTATTCCTCAAGCCACAAAATGAGTGTTCGCTGCAGCGGAATCATCAAAGGAAAAGGAATCAAGCAGCAGCTGCAAACCAAAATACCTGATGCCACAATCACCTTTCGTAACCCTGGTCGTCATATGCTCTATAGCACAATCATAATGGAAGTCGGATTTTCAGAATCGCGAGAAGATCTTAACCGAGATATGCTCCAATACTTTGAGCATTATCAGCCTGCGCAACTTGTTGTTCTACTTAAGATCAAGGAAGACATGAATTCCCGCACCTCACGCACAGATCCAGGTTTTCGAGACCGCGCTGCTAGACTTCTCTTGCGCTTCGGCAACGACCTGGGGAAACAAAAACATGCCGCATACTTGGAGAATAGCGCTCATGATGCGTCTGCCACGCCCGAGCCTTATGAGGAAACTGTCCTCCTAGACCAAATCGAAGTTGAAGATTGGATCGGCAGCGTTGAAGCCGACATCGAGGTTTGGGAATTGATTCACTCTGAGCCACGACTACGCGGCAGCCGTACTGTAAGTTGTTCTAGGTACCTGCAGTAAAAGTGGGGACAACTAATCCTGAATATTCCTCAACAGCGCCTATTTCCCACCCCTGACCGAAATTCCGTACCGTACATCTATGCTGGAGACATGATACCTTTGGCACTACATGATAGCTTCCCAAATCTTGATGTGTCTCAAAGACTCGCTATCGATACGGATCTACTCTGTGGGGAGATGGCAGCGCTTATTCCGCATTTTGCTTGTTGGCGTGCCATCAAATTTTTCAGCCCGAAGGACGAAGAAGAGGATATGGACTTTAGTCCGGATGACGAATGACGAAAAAGATGAGGAACAGTGATGCTATTCTTCTTCCACCAAAAAAAAAAAAAAACAGCTTGACCGCATCGGCAACGGTTTCTCTTAGCTTGCATCTATACCTTAACGTTACCTGTTACTAGTAGTCTTTTCTTTAATTCAACAAGTTGCTTTACCGCTGGTACGAACTTGAAAGAAGACTGATCTCAGGTAGAAGTCAAAACGTGTAACCTTGTCATGGACGAACATGGTGCATGGGGTCCAATTTGTCCCAACTTGGTACGGAGACTGTGCCTAAAGTGCCCAGTGCTCTATAGAATACTCCCCACCTGGGGCAGGGCCGACCGAAAGCGGTGAAGTTCCCCCCTTCCCATCGACCACCACAGCCAAACCATGGATCCTCTTCCTCCGCAGCGCTAAGACGGTAAGGTAAGGTACCTCGTAGGCTGTAGACTAGCTGCCCGGCGGGCGGTGGGCCTCTTAACTATTCTCCTCTTCTTTGTCGCCGTCGTCGACTACCTAAGTCTAGTTCACTGTCTAAACTAACTAATTAGTCTCCATCGCCCCTCTCTCCTAAAGCTGCTGGCTGCTTAAATCTTTCAGCTTCAGCTTCTCCGACCTCGTCCTTCGTCCTCTTCTACTCCTCCGCCTCCTTTCTCGTTTTGTTGAACTCCCTCGTCGCTTCAATGCTTCAAGTACCTGTTCGGGAGCACTCCAACGTGGCCTCCACCAAGGCCGTGATCTTGGTAGGCGGCATTGGAAATCTGTCTCCTATCACCCAGCTCACTACTGACATCGCTACTCGATTTTAGGTCGGTGGCCCGTCCAGAGGAACTCGTTTCAGGCCTCTGTCTCTCGATGTGCCCAAGGTCGGTTGCTGCCCCTCCGTCCTTGAAACTATTCCCCTCCAACCCCTCCCTCCCGCTTGCGGAGTGCATCCCCCTTCCCCGGCGCCTACGCACAGTTGCTCACCATTCGGTCTACCACACAGCCCTTATTCGAAGTCGCCGGACACCCTATTATCCACCACTGCTTGAAGGCTCTTGCGAAGATCCCCGATATTCGAGAAGTTATTCTAGTCGGTTACTATGACGAAACAGTCTTCCGTGACTTCATCAAGGACTCCGCCAAGGAGTTCCCTCAGTTTAAGATCCAGTATCTGCGCGAATACACGGCTCTCGGTACTGCCGGTGGTCTCTACCACTTCCGCGATGCCATTCTCAAGGGAAAGCCCGAGCGCTTCTTTGTCCTAAACGCCGATGTCTGCTGCTCATTCCCGCTCGGTGAGATGCTCAAGCTGTTCGAGGAGAAGGATGCGGAGGCCGTCATTCTCGGCACCCGGGTCAATAACGATGCTGCCACCAACTTCGGTTGCATTGTGTCCGACTCGCACACCAAGCGCGTGCTGCACTACGTTGAGAAGCCCGAGTCGCACATCTCCAACCTCATCAACTGTGGTGTCTACCTCTTCGCCACTGAATGCATCTTCCCCTCGATCCGCAGCGCCATCAAGCGTCGCACCACCCGGCCCCGCCTGCTCTCATACCCTTCGTCCGAGAACCTGGAATCCTCGTTTGTCGCGGCTGAGGACGACGCTGAGAAGACCGAAGTCCTCCGTCTTGAACAAGACATCCTGTCCGACCTGGCTGACAGCAACCGCTTCTTCGTCCACGAGACCAAGGACTTCTGGCGCCAGATCAAAACTGCCGGCTCCGCGGTGCCCGCCAATGCTTTGTACCTCCAGAAGGCTTTCCAGGCTCAGTCCGAAGAGCTCACCCCCCCTTCGGCCTCCATCGTGCCCCCAGTTTACATCCACCCCTCCGCCACCGTCGACCCCACCGCCAAGCTCGGCCCCAACGTCTCCATCGGACCTCGCGTCGTCGTGGGCGCTGGTGCTCGTATCAAGGATTCGATTGTGCTGGAAGATGCCGAGATCAAGCACGACGCCTGTGTGCTGCACTCGATCATCGGCTGGAGCGGTCGCGTTGGCGCCTGGGCCCGTGTGGAGGGTACGCCAGTCCCGATGGCCAGTCACTCAACCAGCATCATCAAGCACGGCGTGAAGGTCCAGAGCATCACCATCCTGGGTAAAGAGTGCGCTGTGGGCGATGAGGTGCGCGTCCAGAATTGTGTCTGTCTGCCTTACAAGGAATTGAAGCGCGTACGTATCCTCCTCTCCCTCCCTCCCCCTCTCTCGACTTCTTAACGTGAGCGCAATCTAACTCAACTCTGCAGGACGTCGCCAACGAAGTTATCATGTAGAAAGTCAAACCCTGCGTTTGAAAATCTGGAACGGAACGTGTGAACGGATTTTGTCTCAGATGCTTTTTATGAAGTGCTTCCCCTATCGCTGACCTGCTCTTCTTGGTTACTTGATTATTGATCGATTGATTTCTTTTGCCCGGCCTTCGACTGCGGACTTCTTATCTCGCTTCAGCAAATTCTTTAGAGCTAGTGTTCATGCTTAGAATGAACAGGGCATGGGTATGGGTTGTATGCCCGCCGCAGAAAAATTACAAATTAATAACTTAATACGGTTTCAACTTGCGGGTCCGTGTTTAGATTGTGAAAGAAAAGGCAAACATGTGGATAAATGCATTGGGGTAAGTGAATGGGCCGAAAGAAACACGGGAAAATGTTCCTAGAAAACGCCGACCTGAAGAAAAGCTCTATCCAAGGTCATCGACACCAAATCATCCTGTACAGTGCTCAGTAAGAACGACGTTACGGCATACACGATGAGATGGACACGTGCGCTAATGTATTCTAACCAGACGCCGTGAGTCACGACAACTGATCCCGAGCCATTTTGAGTGGTTCAAAATGTTCAATTCGAAGAATAGATCATGTACAGTGCAAGATCGTAACGCATCAAATCCATAATATAACAGTGTAAGACCCTTCAAGAAGCGCTTCGCCGGATAAAGAATCCTTCCAATTCCAGCGAGCGCATTCTTTCAAGGACACGAGGTCGTAATGCCACAGGAGGCCAACGAATCACAATAGTCATCTAGCGATACGCCCCGGCATCATACCCCGTCTGCTCCGCAGGACGGGTATACCCTACGGTGGACGCCGAAGCTCCATACGCGCTGAAGCGCACCCGCGGCATGGGGTGCTGCGCCCCGAGATCTCCCGCCGCCGCCGCGTCGCCGTACTGCTCCACCTCGTGAGCGTGGTCGTGCTCCGCTGCGGCGCCGGCATGACTTCCCAGCCCGCCATACGACGGGGGCGGGGACATATACTGGCCGGGCATGTTGGTCGGTGGTGCATCGTGATAGGCCTCCTGTCCGGCAGAGTACCCATAGGGGCCCTGCTGCGCGGGGTGTGGCTGGGCGTACATGTCGTCCGGGTGGTAGGGCCCCACGCCGCCGGACATGACGCTGCTCCCGCGGTTGTGCATCTTGTAGTCGTTGAGGGCGGCGTTGCTGGCCATCGGGTCGTATTCGCCCAGGCGGGTCTGCCGCCTGCGGACGATCACATCGAGGACGACGGCGGCGATGTGGGCGGCGGTCGCGACGATGGTGAACGCGAAGAGCGCCTTGTAGATGCGGCACACGTTGATGCCGGTCGAGGTGCCCCAGTAGGTGGTGGTGCAGCTGGTCAGGATGGTGTGCGCGAGACTGTAGCTCAAGAGGCCGAGGGAGATGAGCCAGAGGAGTAGGAGGATGGAGTTGGTGGTTAGGGAGAGGCGTGGGGAGAGGCCGTAGAAGCAGTGGGTCAGGGTCGTGAGAATGTAGTTGAGAAGGGTCAGGACGGTGGCAATTAGGAGCTGTTTTTGTTTCCGGGTTAGTTCGGTGTCTGTGTGTCTGGCTGCGTGAATCCGGGGAAGGAGGCAGTAGGGACTTACGACCAGGAAGGCCCAAGGAAGTTTGTAGCCATGGCTGTGGAGGTTGGTGATGAAGACAGCAAGAATGATGCCTACGATAAAGGTCGAAATAAGACCCGTTGCGCGGATAATGTGGAAGGGTATCGCTGGGTAGTGGGATGGTTTGACTGATGCTGTGGTGCGCATAGTGGGCGATGGTTATCGGAGGAGGTTTCCAACCGCGGTGGGGGTGGTTTATCAGTAATTGTTGAGTTCCGATCGATAAGCAGTAAACAAATGATCAGGCGACAATACTGTGCGAGCGCGACAGGAGAAGATGGTAGAAAGACGGATTCTCTTGAACCTGCAAGAGGGGAGACTTGGATTCAGGTCATGACAAGTCAACAACAAAGTGGAAAAACAAAAAGAGACGAGCGAGAGTGCGAGTGCAAGTGCGAGTGCGAGTGCCAGAAACACAACAATGCAACGCCTCGCTGGGTCGATCACTTTTACACTGCCTGGGCAGGCTCCACAACCACGGCTGTTGCTAAAGAAAGCAGCGGGAAGAGGAGACGATGACGAACCCGGCCGCGTTTGGTCAGTGGAGTACGTATGGTATGGATAGCTGGCATGTGACATCCAGCACGTGTCTCGCTTACTTCATCCAGTTCTAGATGCTCTCTTTCTCTCTCGTCTCTCGTATTGCATCGTACAGTACTACCAGACTGACTGACTGACACCATCGCTGCTGATTAATTCCCTAAACCTTCGCACATACCTACAACCTACAACACTCCCTATAAAACCAGCCATGGCCTCAGACTCAGCAATGGTGTCCTCTTTTCTTTTAGCTAACCTATCTATTGGCAACCAACATTAAACAATATGACCTCCATACTTGCAGGTTCCATGCCCTGGCATGAGGGTGAGCAGAAAATGCACAATCTGCTTCACGTTCCCCCACGAGACAACCCCACAGTTCCAAGTCTAACCTATAATGCTGGCTATCTACTGCCCCGCGCTCCACTTTTGGCTATTGGGACGATTGATTCGGAAGGACGCCCCTGGACAAGCATCTGGGGCGGCGAGAAAGGATTCGCTAGATCTACTTCGCAAACCACGGTCGAACTGACTACACCTGTCGACAGGAGACATGACCCCGTCGCTGAAATCCTGCTGGGCCCACCGGAAGGCGACTTGGCCGATTCCACGCGCGGCGGGAAACTGATGTCTGGATTAGTTTTCGATCTGGGAAATCGTAAGAGAGTGAAGCTTCACGGCAGGACGATTGCGGGGTCGTTGGAAAGTCTCAGCGCAGTGTCAGGTTTGGACCAGGTGGGATTCGCCCACCTGACGTTGCACATCGATGCAAGTCTCGGTGAGTAATACTCCAAAACATCAGGCATGCGACACGGCTAACAAATCAGGAAATTGTCCGAAGTATATGAATAAGAAGCAGATTATCCCTGCCCTTCCAAATCCGAAGCTAGTGTCAAACTCGCCTCAACTGACACCGACGGCTGTAGACCTTCTCAATCGTGCTGACTGCCTGTTTGTCTCCTCGTCTCATGGTACCATTGACATGGACACAAACATCCGTGGAGGGCCTCCTGGATTTGTGCGACTGGTGTCTAACGAGCCACGTGGGGTTGTATTTGCTTATCCAGAATACTCAGGTAATCGACTATACCAGACTCTAGGCAATCTACAGACCAATCCTCGGTCAGGATATGTCTTCCCGGACTTTGAGACGGGAAATGCGCTATATGTTACTGGGGAAGCAAGGATACTGGTAGGCAAAGATGCAGAACGGGTGCTTCCGCGGTCAAATCTAGCAGTCGTGGTCACTGTCACAGCTGCGCGATATGTGGAAAAGTCCCTCTCCTTCCGAGGTATCGCGGGGGAGCCGTCTCCATACAATCCTCCGGTGCGATATCTAGCGACAGAAAAGGTCAGTGCGGCCGATCTGAAGGAAGATAGTTCTATCACAGCAACTCTTATCCGCAAAGAGATTCTCACCCCAGCCATTGCCCGTTTCAGATTCCGCGTCTCCGATCCCGTCAAACTTGGGAAGTGGAGTCCCGGGCAGTACGCGACATTCTCATTCTGGGACGAGCTGAATCTCGGCTACAGCCACATGCGAGATGATGACCCGACTAGCCTCAATGACGACTATGTCAGGACGTTCACTATCTCATCTTATCCTGGCGAGGGCATTTCTGCATCGGAGTTCGAAATAACAGCCAGGAAACACGGTAATGTGACTCGCTATCTTTGGGGGGTGAACGAACGAGCTGGCCTTGAGATCCCCCTCAAAGGGATTGGGGGAGAGTTCCAGATGAAATCAGCGGGAGAGGAGATCTTGCCTTTCATAGCAGGTGGCATCGGGATAACGCCTGTGCTTGCCCAGCTTTCCAGTCTAGATCTGAGTCGGCTACGGCTACTGTGGTCTATATCGATCAGCGACGTGGGTTTGGTGTGGGATACGTTCAAGCGGTTTCCGGCGTTGCCTAGATCGACATCTTTGTTTCTCACCGGGTCTGATCCGGAGGACGAACTTACCAAACGGCCGTATGAGGCCGTCCTCTCCTCTGGAGCACAGATTTCACGACGCAGAATAGGCGCAGAGGATTTGGATCTGTCATTGGCCAGGACATGGTATTTCTGCGGCAGTCCGGCTTTGAAAAGCTCGGTGTTGAAATGGCTCACTGGTAAGAACGTAGTATATGAGGACTTTAACTACTAACGCAGTGGTATTACAGCCAGCTTACTTACGGATTTGATGGTTTGCATTATTTACACATTTCAGACCCTACCTCAGAAACTTTAGCAGTTCGTAGTTCGTAACGTAGCCAGTAAACACCGAGGATTCAGCCCGATCGGATTCTCCGCCCGCCGAGCGGCAACGCGTTATCGGCTGCTGCCTCCGCATCACGTCTCCGCCGCCGCCATTTAACAGGTAACTTATCAAGCTCTTTTCTCCTGCACCCTCAACCTCAACCTCAACAGTCTGCTGCAGAAGCGCTTAAACCCCAACTGCACCGCAGTCTCTATTACTGTTCTCCCCACGAGAACTCCTCTGATTCTATATCCCCCGCGCTCACGCAAACCATCAAAGCCCACCGCACCGCAACACAAAACCCCTCAACCACATTCCCCCGAGCTCCCAGAGGAGCTCCCACAGCTCCCACCATGTCCACCTACGAAGGTACTGTCCCATCCCCTTACTCCCCTTCAACCTCAACCCCAAACCCACCCTCAAACCCTCCAACCAAACTAACACCACCCCCGCAAAAGTGGAACACAACACCACCGACCCATCCTCAACCACCCCCACCACCACCACCACAGGAACAACAACCAGCACCCATCCCCGCCGCCCCGACCTCTCCACCTTCTTCGCCACCCTCTCCGAGATCACCCCGGATGAATCAAGCAGCACCCACCGCCCGCACGCCGTGCCGGTCCCGCGCGACATCAGCGCAGCCTTCTACACGCTCGCCGAAGCGTTGAACGTGATGCGGCGCGACGGCGGCGGCGGGGGCGGGGGCGGGGCCACCATCGCGGCGGCGGCGGCGGGAGGGATCCCCAGCTTCGGGCCGGAGGATACGGACACCAACGGAAATGGCAACGAGCTGCTGACGGAAATGATTGGGTCGTTGTTGCAGTCGGCGGAGCGGCCGCCCAAGGAGGTGGAGGGGGTGAGTGAGGAGTTCTGTGATGGTATGTCGTCTCTCTTTTCCTTTTCTTTTCCGGGGGGGGGGGAGGGATTGTGTTCGAGGGGAGTGGTTCGTGTTTGAAAGAAAAACGGACAGCAGGGGGGGGGTTGGGCTAAGGCTAATGTGCGGCTATTCGTATAGTGCTCGACCGCGTGCCTAAGGCGTCGTTGAACTCGTCGCAGGTCTGTCCGATCTGCAATAACTCGTTCCTGGAGGACCAGTACCCCCTCGTCGTGCGGTTGCCGTGCCATCCGACGCATCTGTTTGATCTGGAGTGCGTGCGGCCGTGGTTGAGGCTGCGGGGAACGTGCCCGCTGGATCGCACGGATTTCGCCAAGCAGGAGAGGGAGAAGGCGGAGGCGCGGCGGAAGCCGGCGGTGGATGATGAGGAGGAGGAGTGGGATGGCATGTATGGTTAGGTTTACAGATAGGTGCTATGATCAATAAAGAGAAGGGCATAGTGTTCCGGAAGCATGCTGTGGAACCGCGAGCTTTACTGTTGAACTTGCATAGAGACGTAGCATTCATGAAGTATTTCTTTTCTAATTCTATCATGTCAGGAAAAATAGCGTGGCTAAGCCATTATCTCAACTCAACTCAGAGCTCCTCTTTGGGTCGAAGAGCCAACTTGCCCGCTTTGTCGATGATAGCCTCCAGGCCACTCCTCTCCAGGACCCCGTTGTCATCCTTGACCACCTCGCGCGCTTCCAATTCCTCGACCATCTTCTGATTTTCGCGGTTGCCTTCCAACAAGAACTTCAAACACATCACTGCATGTTCCTTGATGTAGGGGTTGTGAGCGTCGAAGTTGGTGCAGGACAGGATAGTTTCCACACCGCCATAGCGCCGGATTTGATCCTGGACCTCGGGACACTTCCATACTAAAGACGAGAGAACAAGCACAACCAGCTTCTTCAGGTTGCGCCACTCAAACTCCGACGGATCCTCCGTGATCGGTGGCGACTCTGCTCTTGATCCCGGCCCAGCATCAACGGGATCGGGGTCACCGGGATCGTATGGTCTCTCAACTGCTACCGGTCCGGAGCCCGAGCTGGATTGATGATCCCGGGAAGGGCTGTTGCGTCCTCCCAGAGTAAGAGAACTCAGTTGGCCCTTGGGGATGCTGGCCTCAAGCTCCTTGATTAACGTCACCAGATCATAGACAATCTCCCACTTGACAAGCAGGTTTTTCCAGTCGTTATTCTCGGTCAGCACAGCGAAGAACTCCAAGAACTGGTAGACACCTTCGTAGACCCGCTCCATATCCCATAGGTTCAGCGGGAAGTCCTCTGGTAGAGCCCTTCCGGCGCGGATCTGTCCCTGCAAGTAGATCAAAGCGCACGTCTCAGGAATGATGTTGCCCCGGAAGATGGTGAAGATGTATCGAACGGTAAGGATATCGACTCGGGACAGAGGGGCCGGGCTCTTGGTTGCGGTTTGTTGAGAAGTACCGGTGACTGATGCTGGAGAATACTTGGCTCGGAAGATATGAGTAAGAATCTTGACCACGACTGCCTGCGCAGGAGAAATAATGTCCTTGGGCTGGCCGAAGTCAGAGTATGCGTGCGACATAAGACCGTTCTTTAAGACCGCATCCATGATCTGAACCATCATCTTGAAGTAGAGCTCGTCATCGGGAAGGTCCCAAGCAGCAATGAAGATCAACAACTCTCTCAAAAGGTTGCGACCAGTCTCCTGCGTGAGCAGGATGTGGCATCGCAGAGCCTGCATGTTCCGCGACCCCGTCCTTTCTCCGCCCTTCAACCCGAAGCTGTCAACGATTCCCGCTTGGATAATCATTGGAAGCGCTTCGATTTCCGCAGGCCCTAACACAAGCGGTATATCCGTCAAAAGGCCGCGTTGTTGGTCTCCTGGACGCCCGCGGTAATCGTCGTCATCTTCATCGTCATCTTCCTCTTCCTCCTCCATGCTTCCGTCTGCGACGGCCTCCAGGCTGCGCGAGTCGTCATCACCAACTGTGCCCGCGTCCCCAGTATCGTAGTCCTGATCTCCATCACCACCAATCTGGGAGCTCTCTTGCAGTCGCGCCATTAACTCGTCCTTCGCTTCCTGTAGAGTTTCGGCTGCAGACTGAGCAGACCGGGGCATACTCATATCTTCCTCCATAACAACTGCGTCACCAGCCGAGAGCGCCCCATATTCGCTAAGGTCCGGGAGATCGGTCCAACAAACGCGTGGGAAGCCAGCTGTTAAGCTCCGATCTATCGTCACAATCGCCTTCTTGCGAGGAGGCTCATCTTCTGGCAGGGCGGGCGGGAGGTCCTTGGCTCTGTCCTGGAGATCAGACCACCCATCTACCTTGGCACCGAGAATAGCAGTCAGAGCTGCGCGGATTTCCTTGACTTGCTCCGGGTCTTTGCCCATCTCCTGTATGGCGGTCAAATCGCGCCCGAGCAGCTTCTCCATGTGGTCCTTGATGTTTGCAAGAAGCAGCATGGCCGCCTCCTCTTTGATCGTGGCAGGTTCCCGGGGGAAATTGGAGATCGTCTCCAGAAGCAGGTCCTCCGCAGTCTGATCATAGAGAGCCCGGATTGGGGGGTTGACTATCCGCTCTCCGGTTTTGACAATCGGCGCCATTCCTTCTGGCTGAGCAAAGGCCGGATCAAGCGGCTCTCGGGGCTGAATGATGTTGGAATCTCCCGTAGAATGGTATCCGAAGAGGTCCAGCCACAAAACCATCTTCCGCTGCTCGTTGTGCATGATGAAATTGTGCATGAACTGCAGACACGTAATCAGAAGGCGCTTGTAGAGGTTGACGACTTTCTGCCAGCGCTCCTCGTTCCGGGCGTTTGTTTCCCCGTCAAACCCCCGCGCCGTAACCCTGACACAGGTGTCGACCAGGGCTAGGATTCTCTGATCGAAGCCTTTCTCCGCCGCCATGTTTTGGGCCTTCTTCGTGGTGGCGAGGAGATTGCGGGCGATAGTACACAAGTCATTCAGGCGCTCGATATCCTTGACAAGTGAAAAGTAGTTGTAGGCTATGAGGTTGGAGGAAGAGTGGTCGTAGTTGGCGGTCGGGGGGCTTTTCCAAGCAAACGACTGGGACTCGAGAACAGGGATCGCCTTTGTCAAAACATCTGTGAAGCCTTGCCAGATGTCCGGTGACAGGCCGAGATTATGTCTATTGGAGGGAGCTCAATCAGTCCGCTTGTTGACAACAAGGTCGTTGTGCGGGGAACGGTGGAAGCGTGGAGATGCAAAACGAAATGGGCTTGAAGCAATAGCAGGGGAGGTGATTCGAAAACACACCTGACATCGCTTTCTTGGTGTGTCTTGTAGAGAATCTGCTTGCCCGCAGAGAGCATGTGTTCAAGACGTTTGTCATCAATCATACCCCGGGTCTCATAGTGGCTCAAGGTCCCCGTCAGGATAACCTTTAGCATAAGCTCTGCAGGAGTGCACTTGGGCTTCATCTCCGCTGCTGCCCGGTCAGCCATCTTGGGCGCGAAGTTAAGATTACCGTTGGTTTTGAGCAGCAGCACCTCGCGAGTTGATTGTTGCGGGGAAGAAGTCCAACTCAGTGCGGGCGGAGAAGGAAAGAACTTGGGAATAATTAGAATAACACCCGCTGAGGGGAATTTTTCCGGCTCCGGAACCATCCCGCCGCCGCCGACTGCCTGCCTATTCGGGAAGATTTATGTCCATGAACATCACTACTGAATAGTGTGATAGAGTGTAATCTATATACAACGCCCATACCCCTTCATGACATCTTGGATCGGATAGAGAGCCCAAAAACATGGCGTAAGTTGTCCCAGAACCCCAGGTCATAGATATTCTCCACCTCCCGCATACTATGTACCAAGCTCCACCGCGGGTCAATAGGAGCATCTCGGTCGCTGGGCTGTGAGATTTCGTTCGAATCTGGAGACAACAGGTGTCCTTCCTTGGGCGCCTCCCCATCCGTGAGTGCAAGGACCTGCTCGCTGCCCATGGGCCAGTCTGATGGTGACCCTTGGTATTCTGCGAGCAAGGGCGAGTTGCCATATATCACGTCCTTGGTCGATTTATATACATAGCCATCGGCAACGTCCTCCTTCCAATCCGACCACTTGGAGCTTTCATTTGTGGTCATACCGGCCCAAATCAGATAGGTATGGTATACGAGAAAGGCCCCCGCCAAAGGGGCTGTCATCGTCATCAACAGGGTGGTCGCGCCAATGCGAACATCAGCAGCGATCACCACAGCCCAAATGTTGAAGAAAGTCATCCAGCTCTGTCGCGTGTGTCGCAAAGAATTGTCAGCGGGTACCAGTTTGTCGTAGGTCTGGTATAGCAGAGTGTATCCAAGACATGAGCCATAAGTCAGCATGACGCACAGTGATACTATCAGGGACAGAAAGTAATGATAGTTGTGCAATCCAACGCAGTTCATCAGCCATACACAATGATGGTCGTGTCGGGATACACATGCTTTGCAAGTGCTGCAGTGCTTGCTTCTCGCCGGCTTGAGGAATCGGCATGTACTGCAGCGGTGCCCTGGATGGAAGATGACCCTATCGTAAGGATAGCGTTCCAACTCCTCCGCGTGGTTTTTGGGAGTAATGAAAGACTTGGTGGTTATGCTCGTATATAAGAAATAATAAGGAAGGGCTGCAACGAGCGGTATCCATACATGGTGGGCAGTAGGGATCCTGGCCCAAGCGGCGGGAATAAACATGCACTGGCCTGCTACCAGCAGTGAGGCAAAGAATATCTAGGTTCAGTCAGCAGGGAGGCGAGCTTGACTACGGATTCATGAGACAAACAAGAACAAGCGGATGATTCTCATTGAGAATATAGTTACCGGCCTGACTGCAGCAAGAGAAAAGACGGCCACTAAACAGTAGCTCATCGATTCTTGCAAATCCTCTAGGGACGTGTATCCAAAGAACTCTGTGAAGGAACCCAATTGGGGTTTTGCTACAAGCATGCATCAGTCGCAACTCACTGCATTCGAGGACCAGTACATAACTTACCGAAATGCAGGCAGTCTCCCAAAGAGAGCGACAAATACAAAGCCTGAGATTCCGAGGATGGCCAGCCCTATGGTCCGTAGCAATCCCATCTTGCTCTGAGTCGAGCCAGCTTGGGGGATCCGATTTTGAGTCGCAGGAAGATTCCAACTACAGCATCGGTACTGCTAGCTTGGTGTTATATTTCATCGAGCTGACAAAAAAATATCTCGATCATGAACCCAGACGCCCCGTCATAATTCGCTGGATAAGATAAGATGATTGGAAGGCTGCAGAACTGATGAAGGTTACCCCGACAGGATGTTGTCCACCGGCCGTTGGACAGGCCGTGCACGTGACCGTGTTTCTCCCCAGGCTACGAGGAATGGCTGGTGCTGGCCGAGTTTCAGTTCCAGTTCACAATTGTCATGATTGCCACAAACAAAGCGCCTTCGCCTCTAATTGTCTCAACCGCTCAGAGAATGGCCTTGCTTTAACACTTTCATACCATCATGAGAAGCTGGTCTTGTATAAGCACATGACAGACTGACCTAAAGACATACAAGCCATCCGGCGCAATTGGATCTATACTCAACATCGGAAACACGTGATAGCGCGTCGTCGGAGGCTTTGCAGGGGCGTCCAACAGTTCCGACGCGACTTTCAAAGGCTTCCAGGCCTAAAGGATTCTTTTATGGATTATTATGGCCGAGGCAACTACGGTAGTCAGTCATGAGGCCCCAATAACCGCGAATGGGACGCTTTTCCGAGGAAAGCACTTCTGGCTCTCACACAATGTTCCCCAAAGGAACAGGTTCAAAGAACTTATCGAGGTACTCATTGCTTCCCCTTGACTGCATAGCGAGCTCCCACCTAATGCGAGATCAAGCAACACGGAGGTCACATAAGGCTGTTCGAGAAAGATGCAGAATTTAAAATCGTCGATCACAAACGGAGAAATCTCCCGCCGGACACGTGAGTATTTTCACTCCGCTTAGATGTTCACAACTCACTTATGCATAGATACTCCTTCAAGTTCATCGAAGACTCCATTCGCAAAGGGCGGATGCAGAATCTAGAGCCTTACAGAGCCGGGCCATCAGAAGCTCGACCAGTTGGCGCTTCATACATTCCTACGCGAAATCACAAAGTGCCCTACACTGTCGCGGATGACCAGTTTCTATGGGACTGGATGCAGAAGTATGAGCGAGATTCAACAGCCTCTATCTCGGGGAATAAGATCTACCAAGAACTCGCAGCGAAGGTAGTGTCCACTTCGATCTATAGATCCCCGCAGAGATGTCTAATCGTGCTGAAAATGCCTCCTAGAATCCCAGACATACGTTTCAATCATGGCGTGACCGCTATCTAAAGAGGCTACGTGGTCGTCCGCGTCCGGGGGGTATGCCCAAAGGCTCTGCTCTTGAAGAAAGGCCTTCGCAGGAGGTTGCTCCTGCACAGGTGACGGCCCCTACAGCGCAATCTCAGCCGCCAGCAATTCTCGCACCGGAGCATGAGGCTGTGCCCTCTTCGAGCAAACCAGCCGACAAGAAGAGAAAACGTGTGTCGGAGACTAGTGACGAATCGGACCAACCTGGCCCAGTGTATCGTTCAGCTCCCAAAAGAAGAACCGCTGAGCCCGTGCCAGAACGTGTAGAAGCTGTACCTGCACGCACTCGACACAAAGGGAAGGAGCCTGTGAGGCCTTCACAACCCACCGATCCAAAGGCATCGATTGGTGGTGAGAATACTTCAACTACGAACGGAGTCGAGCAACAATCCATTCCGGAACAGTCCGGGACTGGCACCGATAAGCCACAAAATGGCGCTGACCCCGTCCCAATACCCCCCGAAATAGATCCTTTATTCCTTCAGCTTCCTTTCTTACCTTCAAGTCCTGAGCCTGAACCCGTTCCCGACCCTCAGCCAGAGATCCCGGAGCAGGATATTGACACTTGGATTGACCGCCGCCTTCGAAATGGCAGAGCGACGGAGGCACAGATCATCGAGGCCCTACGCTGCACAAGTATGGACCCAGACCTGGCAGACAAGGTACTCGAGTTCATGGTGGCCGGAAAGGACATTCCAGACGATATTCCGGGGGTCTGGACCTGTGGAGATGACAGGTGTGTGGAAGGAAAAGAGACTCGAGGGATCCAGCGGGTCCTAGAGAAACATGGTGCGGAAGCTTTCGATGCTAGGTGGGAATATCTCAGCATGGCAAGGGCTGCTGGTCTTGAGACGGAAACCATCGAATGACAAGTCCACCGCAAACTGGAAATCTGATAACGTGCAACTAGAATACAGAGGAACGCTAAACGCTAGGGGATCAAATGAGAAACAAAACTCAGAGAAAGACCCGGGAATATAACGAAGATGGCAACGGAAGAAAGAAGCAAGATGTATTCCAAGATGTGTGCAAGTGCTCTTTCATCTCGGGACATTATGGGCCCTCCGCTGACCTCTCATGTCCAAGGACTACCCAAAAGAGGGTTTATCTTACAGTCATAGCATTTGTAAATGGTGGTCAATAAAGCCCCGACAGAACACCCATATGCACGGTTCGTTGTCAAGGCTTCGCCACCACTAATCGTATCATTAGGAAAGATACCAAGGGAAGAAAAAGGCGAATGTCTGGATGTTCCACCCAAATCTGCTGGGAGGAAGAAAGACGACAGACTCCACCTGGTATCTCAACCTTCTTTGAAGACCCTACCATGATGTTAGCCTATGCAGCGTCGTCCTGGCGTATGAGTGACTACTTACAAGTGAGACTCATAGAACTCAAGCATCTTGGCGGTTGTCAGCTATTATTCTCTCTTGAGTCAAAGGGCCACAGGAGCACATACTTTTCGGGGGCATCTTTCGTAGCAGGTTTCAATAAGGACCTTGGACTTTTTGCCATTCTTCCAGTTCAAAATGGCAAGCAGTTGCGACGTGTTCGGGTCGCGGAAGATTGTGTCGACGGTATCCACCTCCTTCTCCCAGCTCTTACCCTTGGGCACCCACGAGCTCGAGTCACTATCTTCTTCCGGTTGGGGTTCCGGTGACTCGTTTGCTCGAGACTTTCTCCGCTTGTTCGGCTGCGTCTTTTCAGGGGTTTCTGATTTAGGAGGCCTTCCCAATGACTTGCGCTTCTTGGTCTGAGGCTTCTCCGGACGGCCACCTATTTTAGAGAAGTACTCGTCGACCGCCTCCTGTGCACCATCGCTAGACAAAATCATTTGGGTCAGTTCGGTTTGTGCAAAGATGAAGGTGAAAGCGAAGAGCGCACAGATTTCCCTCCGGTTCAAGTGTCATGTCGGCGGGGTCATCATATCCTTTCCATTTCACCTGCAGGAGCAGTTCGCCCTGTCGCAGAGTTAGCGAAGCTTCCGAGGTAGCTGTAATCGAGCACCAGGCCCAGATGAGAGCGGCGCGCACCTTCTTTCCCCATTCATGACTGACGATCTTCTCGACGTGGTAACTGCGCGAGTCAGGACTTCAAATGTCAACTTGAACAATACCCGACCGCACTCACACATCTTCTTCTTCTTCTTCTTCTTCTTCTTCTTCTTCATCCTCGTCCTCATCATCCTCGTTATCGTCAACTGCCTTCTTTGCCTGCTTCTTGGATGCGGGGGCCTCCTCGTAAGGAATAGACTCGCCAGTCGACTCGTCATCGGACACATCGGTCACCGGAGCTGATGGAAATGATGAATAGTCAGTCTACTTTTTCGCGCGACAGGTTGGGACGCGCGGTCATGGGCAATTGATACTCACGAGGCATTGTTGTTGTTCGGAAAGGTGATGCGGCGAGATTGAAGAGTCGTGAAAACAGCTTGGCGGTCGAGATGCGACGTCAGATCGACTCAGATGGCTTTCTCAGATCGATGAGCGCAACCATTCGCCGACCGCAAACCGATAGAGATTTGGGGGATGGGGAATTGGGAGAAGAGTACGGAGGAGCAGTGAGAAGAGTGACGATGGACTGTGAAATGGTTAGTTACTGGCAAGTCGCGCAGGCGCGCGGTGGAAGATCTACGCTAGACCCTTTTGGGCAAGCAGCTCACTAGCCCGCTTTTGGCCGCTCCATCTCCAGATGAATTTCTACAAACGCCCGTCATTTGAAGTTGTGCCGGTTAAAGCATCCCCTCTCTCCCCCCCTCCCCCCTTCTTTTATCATTACTCCCCCTCATTGTCTCCTGATCTCTTCTTTGAGGGCTCTTTTTTCCCCCCGTCGATCTTTCAATCTGTGACGTGTGGGCTTTCTTTTAACCTTCCCCCTCCCCCTCCCCTCCAGATTCCCGCCAAGTGGGCAGACCGTCAAAATGGCTATGCGTATGTTTCTCATACCCCTCACTTTGGACCAGGGTGCTAACGTCTTTTTCTTGTGGCTACAGAGCTTGATTTGTCTCAAGGTTGACCCCTCCGCTACTTATCCTCGTCATTATGATACAAGTTCCGACTCGCTGACTACCACACTCAGCTTCTGTGATGAAGGATGAACAAGGCCGGCCGTTCATCGTTGTTCGGGAGTACGTTACGATCCCCCGCTCAGATGGTGTGCCACAACCAGGTCGGTATAGGACATGTCGCTGATCGCAATTCATCCGGACAGTCAAGGCAAGAAGAAGAGACAGCATGGTACTGAGGCCGTCAAGTCACACATTGTCGCCGCGAAGACGGTTGCCAACATCGTCAAGACATCTCTGGTATGATACGTCGTCTGACGAATGCTAGATGCGTCTGGATTCCGATTCTAAAAGACTACTCTAGGGTCCCCGCGGTCTTGACAAGATCCTCATTTCCCCCGATGGCGATATCACCGTGACGAACGATGGCGCTACTATTCTCGGCCAGGTTCGTGCCGGCAGCTACGCCCCGCAGTCCTACCCTGGCAAATGTTCTGACTTGAAGGTTTCGGGCAGATGGAAATCACAAACAACGTTGCCAAGCTTTTGGTTGAGTTGTCGAAGTCTCAAGACGAGGAAATCGGTGACGGAACTACTGGTGTTGTGGTTTTGGCAGCAGCCATGCTGGAGCAAGCGTCGGAACTCATCGACAAGGGTATCCACCCTATCCGGATCGCAGACGGCTACGATCAGGCTTGTGAGATCGCGATTGCACAACTTGACAAGATCAGCGATGACATTCCGTTCTCAAAGGAGGACACCTCCAACCTTCTGAAGGTTGCCAAGACGAGTTTGGGTTCCAAGATGTACGGTGACCACATTATGAGTCCTGCAGTCAATCATATCTGACCTCTCTACAGCGTTTCCAAGTCCCACGATCAATTCGCCAAGATTGCCATCGATGCTGTCCTCTCCGTGGCCGACCTCGAGCGCAAGGATGTCGATTTCGAGCTGATCAAGGTTGACGGAAAGGTTGGAGGTGCTCTCGAGGACTCTCTCCTCGTTAAGGGTGTTATTGTCGACAAGGACTTCTCTCACCCTCAGATGCCGGATGAGGTCCGGGATGCTAAGCTGGCTATCTTGACCTGTCCGTTTGAGCCCCCGAAGCCCAAAACCAAGCACAAGCTCGACATCACATCCGTGGAGGAGTTCAAGAAGTTGCAGGACTACGAGAGGGAGAAGTTCACAGAGATGATCCAGAACTTGAAGGATTCCGGAGCCAACCTGGTCATCTGCCAGTGGGGTTTTGATGACGAAGCCAACCACCTTCTGCTCCAGAACAAACTCCCTGCTGTCCGCTGGGTCGGTGGACCCGAGATTGAGTTGATCGCTATCGCCACGAACGGTCGCATTGTTCCTCGCTTTGAGGATCTGAGCCCCGAGAAGCTTGGTACTGCCGGTCGCGTTCGCGAAATGACCTTCGGTACTACCCGGGAGAAGATGTTGGTGATCGAGGAGTGCGCCAACAGCCGTGCCGTCACGGTCTTCGTACGAGGAAGCAACAAGATGGTCAGTTTGAACGGTTGAATGGAACTGACGTGACCGAATGCTGACCATGGCCACCAGATCATTGACGAGGCCAAGCGTTCGCTACACGATGCTCTTTGCGTTGTGCGCAACCTTGTGCGCGACAACCGTGTCGTCTATGGTGGTGGTGCTGCCGAAATTGCCTGCTCCATCGCTGTTGAGGATGCTGCTGTGAAGGTGCGTGAAGATTCCCCCTTGGCAAAATTTTGGACTTAGTCTTGAGTCATTTGTCTAACATTCTCGCAGAGCCCTGGTATTGAGCAGTACGCCATGCGCGCGTTCGCCGATGCCTTGGACGCTATCCCCTTGGCGCTGGCCGAGAACTCCGGTCTGAGCCCCATCGAGACCCTGGCTTCGATCAAGTCGCGCCAGGTCAAGGAGAACAACTCCCGCTTGGGTGTCGACTGCATGCTGACTGGCAACAACGGTACGTCCTTGTAGCCCTCAAACAACACTTCTTGCTGCTGCGCAACTTAACTAACATTTCTTGCTTAGACATGAGAGAGCACTTCGCCATCGACCCCTTGATCGGCAAGCGCTCGCAGCTCCTGCTCGCCACCCAGCTTTGCCGCATGGTTCTTAAGGTAAGTTTGCTTATCCAACTGAATTAACCCCAGACAAAGAGGCTAATAAGTGACCCCTCCGCAGATCAACAACGTCATCATCTCCGGTGACGATGACCAGGAATTCTAGATTTCTTGTATACAGGAATGTAATTTTCTTTTTCTTTGTTCATTCTGCTGGCTAAAAGAGAGTCCACCACCTTTGGCGTTTACAGTCACAACGGGGCTTGAGATGATAATCCTATTTACTTTCTACAATATATGTTCCTCTCGGCAGGAGTAATGAACAAACTAAGGTGGTGCGTGATGTGGTGTCAGTATGATTGTTGGTACATAGAGAAAAATCTACGGGAGTCAACAAAGTACAATAAATATCCAAGACACATATCATTTACTTGTATCCTGTTGATGTTTGAGATTGGGCTGTATTCGTCTGTGAATATGCTTGTTCATAGAACTGCTCGACCAAGCAGAACATCCCCAAATGCGGAATAAACTCCAATGTACCCTATGCATTCATATACCTTCATCTATATTCCGCACCTTCTTACCCTACAATATGTCTAGGCCTACTTAGGCGTGCAATTCAATGATTCAAAACACTCCCTCTAGACTCCTCCTAAATATTGTGAATCTGCAGCAATAGTCTGTCGTTTTTCACACCCATTCCCATCAACCCTGCCCCCAAAGAGCTACATGCATACTTGCGTGCGAGCGTTCAACATCCGCCCAAACTTCCCACGGCCAGACCCGCACCACCACCCACCCTTATCAACCTGCAACTTTCTTTCTTGTAAATCCCACACCCAAGATCCGATCAAGCTCAGCATAATGCTCATGGCAATCCCCATAGATAAGCCAGTCCGATAGACAGTACAAGCGGGTGCGGTTCCGCCCCGCGTTCGTCGGCTACGACACCTCCCACCTCCCACCTCCCACCGCAGCGCAGCGCGAGCCAGGCGGATAATGCACCCTCCGGAGGGCGCGGGCCGCCTCCCACCTGCTTTGCACCGCGCCTACCCGCCGCCGCCCCGACCGATAACTGATTTGGGGGCATGCAGGCGGGCGATGATTCGTGAACTTCGTTGGCAATCGGCGACCGGGTCACGGAGGGCTCGGACTCGTATCTCCTTTGATTGAATCGGGAATCTATGATGTAGGTAGTGATGGTGGAGGAGGGAGGGGGATGAAGTTTAAATACAAGGGCGCCTCTCTCCTGGAACTACGTAGGGTTCACTCTATCATCGAAGTATACTCGCGCCAGCACTGTCTACCCTTCAGCTTCATTTATTCTACGCTTGCTCTTAGGTCTTGGTGACTCAGCACACACCACACAGCACAGAAATGGGATCAACTGCATCGGGTTGGAGACCGCTGAGTGTGGGGATTGTGGGCGGCGGGATCGGAGGCCTTGCGGCATCCATCGCGCTGCGGCGGGCGGGCCATGCGGTGGTCATCTACGAGCGACACGATTTCGCGGGGGAGGTGGGCGCGTCGATCTCGTGTGCGGCGAACGGGACCCGGTGGCTGCATGAATGGGGGGTCGATATCGCCAAGGGCGACCCCGTGGTGCTGACGAAGTTGATCAACCGGGACTGGAAGACGGGGGAGCCGGTCAGTGTCTATGATCTGGACGACTACGAGGCGCGCTGGGGGTACGTCTACAACATGTTCCATCGGCAGTACATGCATGCCATGTTGAAGGACTGCGCGCTGCAGGAGGAAGGGGCGGGCACGCCGGTGACGCTGAAGGTGAATCATAAGGTGAGTTGTGGGAGGAGACTTTACATTATCTTGCTTGCTCTGGGTCGGTGCTGATGATCGTGGTGTGTTTAGTGCCAGGATATCGACCTCGAGACCGGTGTGATTACCTTCGACGGTGGTGAAACCGTGCGGCACGATCTTATCGTGGGTGCCGATGGAATCGGCTCGGCCGTACGAGGCATTATTGGCCTCCATCCCGAGAAGACTCCTGCGCCGTCGAGCTGCTTGCATGCCAATGTCCACACGGAGGATGCGGTCCGCCTGGGGTTGGTCGACTATTCCCAAGACAGCGCCTTGGAATACTGGGGCGGCCAGGAAGGCAAGTGGGATAAGATCGTGCTCTCCCCCTGCAACGGCGGCAAGTTGCTGTCCTACTACTGCTTCTTCCCTCGCGAGAAGGGAGACTTCACAACGCACACATGGGGTGGAGAGGATCGTCCGGTTGAAGAGCTGCTCGCTCCTTATCCGGAATTGGATGAACAGGTCCGCTCTCATCTGGCCATCGGCATCGAGATTAGGCCCTGGCGCCTGTGGGTACAGTAAGTTCCGCCATTGGGTCGTTTTGCTCAGTCTGTGAGTTAGTGCTGGGCATTCCATTAACGAACGAACTCTGTGACCAGTCAGCCATACCCGTACATCGCCAGCAACATGGTCTGCCTGCTGGGAGACGCAGGACATCCAGTAAGGCGGTTCCCTACACGAACAACTCGGAGCGAAGTACTGATTGACTATCTGCAGATGATGCCTCACCAGAGTCAGGGCGCTTGCATGGCCATCGAAGACGCCGCGGCCCTCGGAATCATATTCAGCAAGCCCTATTTCTCCGGTGATGTCGCAGCGGCGCTGTCAGTCTACCAGAAGGTGCGACTGCCTCGAGCCACCAAAGTCCAGGCCGCTTCCGCCAAGGCGGCATACAATATCAACGAGCGCATCGGTAGGCAACTGTTGGAAATTGACCACACTGCGAGTCTTTGACTGACGGAGACTCTCCAGGCTTCTCCAGCAACACCAACATGCCGAAGTACAAGGTCGAAGATGAGCAGAAGAAGCTCACGATTGAAGAAATGAACGCGTAAGTGAAGCATCAGTTCCGAGCATCAGCGGCAGGTGTCTGACCTCTCACTCAGATACGACATGTACATGGACATTGAGGAAGTCCTGTCCCAAGAACTTGGGTCCTCGTTCGACAAGGAGTTCATCCGAGGGCTGCCTGTCGGACTGAGGCTGTCGAACGGAGTGGTCATCGGAGAATAAGCGTGCTGTCAGATTCAGATTTGGAATCTTCTCTTCCCGGGCTTCTTTTCCCCCATTGTTTTGATACCTCATGCCAGTTGTGTATATAGTAATGCTTGATGTTGATGCGGTGGACATCTCATGTCACTGCGATGTATAGTCCATTCAATGAAATGTGTGACCAACATAGTCAACCGGGTCCCATGACTGAAATTCGGGGGCGAGGCCTGAGATAGATCAGCCGGCTTAAGCGCCGAGTGAAGATGGCTCCTTACGAATTGTTAGGCACAGACGTCCACTCTCGATTGGGTATCACACAATCGATCAATGGCTCGATCTGGAGGTGATCGGCCTCAGGTGCGATAAAGTACGGGAGAGTGAGGGTCGAAGCTGAAGGGATACGACGTCGATCGCGCTCAAGATGGGGTTGCCTTACGTGAAGGATAGGCTATATAGCGTCGGGTATACCTGATGATCAGGGGGTGGGAAGTGGAAGGAGGGGGCCGAAGGGCCGGGGACCGGAGAGGGGGGAGAGGAGGCGCACTGGGAATAATTTTCATAGTGGGAATGTTGTAGAAACAGCCTGAGTGCCAGGTGAACGAACCACTGCCACCTCGGCCACCTCGGCCACCAGCTGACGCTCGTCTGATCTGCCACTGGAGACCCCTGGAGATTATCTGTCGGCTGTCTCGCTTCGGAATATGAACAAATGGACAAGGGTGTGTGTTCCGTAGTGAGTGGGGGAATGTGTGCCTTAATGCTTCTGAACTATGAGTCAGATTGTCGGACATCAAACATGCCAATACGATGAGGGGAAAGGAGGAAGTATACCAAGTACGGAGAGTACCGAGAGAGAATGCGGAGAAAAGGCGGTAGAGGGAGGGAAAACACACACAACACACATCCAATCACCCCCGGCAATTGCTCAGCTGACCACCAGCTGACAGCAACAACAACAACAACTCCACCAGCAACCTGCATCGCCGACCAGAAGCCTCTTCAACTTCTTGAATTCTAGACTCGCCTTCGATCGCCTTTCCTTCCCTGTCGAATGACGCAGCTGATGCTTTTCTTATTCTTTTCTTTTTTGTTTATCATGCATTTTCCCTTCCTGCCTCTTCCCCCCTAAACTAATGCATACTCACCTGTAACAGCATGTTAGCCCTCCCCCTGTCACAGGGGATGCTGGTCTATGGGTCGCAGATTGGGTTTTTGACACGAGATGACTCCCGGAGGGGCGGGGACAGCTCGGGCCCCAACTCGATGCCAATCGGCATCCAGTCAGTCGCATTCAGAAAGACAGCAATGACTCCGGACCAGCTCGTTGGAAGGAACCAGTCACTCGCCATTGGAGAGCAAAACTGAGGCATCCGCACCACCTTGCTTACGCTTCTTTTGATCAGCAGACGAGCTGGGATCAACACCCTTTCTCTTCAGAGCAATTGCTCCAAATGGTAGCACGAGCGCCATCTATGTACTGTCTGTCTGGTCCATACAGTAGCGCTAACGCATTCCGACGAGGAGGCAGTATCTGCGGTCAGATATGGATTTGTAGGCTTCGGGACTGATCCGTGATTCGGATAGTATGGTAGGCACGATGACGACTTCAGAGGGGATTGGGGATGGGGATCATGGCTGCTGTTTTGAGCCGTTCATAGGCATACACATACAGGTGCAAGTGAGAGATGATGTTGCAAATGCACGACACTCTGGACTTAAGCGAGGCCGTTCTAGAATCAAGCCCGGGTCAGCATCTGATGGCCACCAAGTGATTGATAATGCATTGTGACTCTATGGTTCTCCGACATTGCGCCATGGACTTCACTATGGCAAGACTATGTAGAGATAGACTTGCCAATCCCCTGGGGACTAATCATGTATACCATGATGGATGCTTCCCCCTAACGAGCTTGCATCAGAGGTAGCCCCCTGAAGCCGAGAGAAATTTCAGCGTTCCTTGTCAAGTTAACGCCATCTTTCTCTCGCAACAACGAAGGCAATAGTCATCAACCCTAAAGGAAACGATGTCCACGGAGAGACATAGATAGCCCACGGAGGTTCATTCCATGATGAGACCCGCAGCAAAGCAACTCGCCATATGTAGCAGTGTCACACCACCACGCAATCAACACCGAACGAGAAAAAGAGCCAGGCTACTCCCAAACCACAATGACTCTCTGCATGAACCCAAGAGCAACTCGATGCCATGCTGATCTCTCGACTAAGCCCCAACGTCATAAGTCTAAGTAGCAACGAAGCTAGACGCCAGATCAGATCCACCACAATCAGCACGAACAGACCGGTAGAGCTAGCTGCAATGCAGTGCATCACGGTTTCTGCAGAACCTGCGAAAATAAATTAGCATCGTGCATCAAAGCCAT